CCCCCCCCCCCCCAATCCAACACCAAACGTTTCCCTTCCACTCGCCCGCGCAAGCTTTGCCTCATGGTCGCAACGCCTAGGTGCGCTTCATTCTTCGTGCCGGTCACCCACCATGCGAGAGACTGTTCTCTAGTCTGACCATGACCAGGCATGAAGTGGATGTACACGCGGCCCGACACCCGTACACACCTGGCCTTCCGAAGCGCCCAAGCCGTGCATACCGCTTGCCCCAAAATCCCGCACGCCGCCGACGAGGTGAGTACCAGGTGAGTCACGCCCTGCGGCGAGAACGACGCGCCCTCTTCCCCCGGCACGCTGGCCGCGGCGTACATGAGAATGGCGCCCAGTGCGCCCGTGATCCAGGCCCCCGTTACCCACCTTATCGCTCCCTCGGCCTCGATGTCGTAACGCGCGACACCCGTGCGGGCTTGTAGTCGCTGGTGATGGGCCAATTTGACGCACCTTGATCATGGCAGGGTGGATGTTTTAAGGGGGGGGCGAAGGCGGGAGGGGGTTCGTGGGAGTGCTAATCAGATTCATCGTTCGTGGTGTCACCAACGGTCGACGCGTCTGATTGGAGACCGGGCATTGCTAGTAGTGCTAGAAGATATCGTACGTGCTTGGAAAATAGACAGTCCAAGAATGTGTGGCACCAGCCCGCAGTCGCAGCAACAGCGCAATGGAACTAAGCAATACACGAAAATGAGTGTGTCGCATTCGCTCAGCCCTAACCTACGATACACACCCGTCGTAACACAATAATTGAGGGCCGATCGTAGAGGGGCTGGGAAATTGACGATTGCATGCACATGCATAGATCATCACCAGAATAGAGGGATGGCGACGATGGCGGCCAGCTGTATGCCGGCTCTAAAGGTGAACCCGACGGGGTTGTTCCGCATGCCAAGCTGCGTAAGGGTCGGAATCTGCGAGGACACGAGAGGAGCAAAAGGGTAGAGGGGAGGTACATCAAATATCCAAACACTGCTGTGTCACAACAGTGGTCCCCGGATAAAGCCGAAAAATGCCTATGGGTTTGGGCGGCCTTCAAGTTTTCACTCGGTACAACAACATGTCAGAGACTTGAAACCACGAGAGCGTTGTGTCGGCGACGGGCGAGGGACGAAACGTTGTAGAAATCGCCGTGGAACCTTGTTCTGTCCTATAGCCCGGTGCATCAACGTAGCGACAATTGAGCAGGGCGGGACACCGACAGCACTAAAGCCAGGTTGAACACCAACTGCTGCACTGCCTATCGAATGGGACAAACGGCATTTTTGGAGGTACGCCATATCCCGTGGTCGGCGTAGTCTTCACAGCAATAACAGCACTGCCGGAAATTTAGTCAGAGCCTTCCTGCCATCGGTGCAGGTCCAGCCGACACGTACGCGTACGGTGGTCAACGGTCAACTACCCGCAAAAGAGGAATCATGACAAGATCCGCACGCGCCATAAAAATCAGGTCATGCATCATTTCCGTCTCACAGAAGAGTTGCCTTGCACAGGCCTGCGGTGATGCATGACTCCAACGTCACACCGCCATGCCTGTACCGCACAGTTTTTTTACACAACCAACGTAGATACACCCGGCCGTGTGCCCCCCGCCCTCCCTCAATCAAGTTCACTAAGCCTTCGCTGCCCCGCCCGTTGACTCTCTGCTACCCTTCAAATAACGTCCCTGTGGATTCCAGCCCGAAGAAGGGAAGGGAGTGAGAACTTGTGGGAACCTACCACGGGATTTCCACGATTGTGGGCGTTTCTCGGCGCTGCGCGAACGAACTATCTCCTGTTGCCTGTTCTCATAAGCGTTGGCTAGAAGTACATTGCACACCAACCTAACCGCTTGTTTCCTTTCAATGGCTTCGTTCCACACGTTCAAGAAATACAGCTGCGAAAACTGGTCCACGCACGTTGCGGAGGGTATGAGAACACTACCCTGACCTGAACCTACACTCTTGTTCAGAGTAGTCTACAGGACGACCACTACAGACCACAGCATGCAGATACATCCGAAGTACATACCTACAGTACAACGTTGTGATTATCCAACAGGAGAGCGCGCACGATCCTCGCTTTGTCGAATACAACAACCGAACCATCCTGGTCCCAGCAACCGCATCTGCAGCCCATAGAAGGCAAACCTTTATCCAACAAGTTAGGGCATGAGTGCAACCTACGGCAGGTAAATACAGCGGAAGCAGCCTCCCCGACGTCCTGCTGCTGCTGTACGGCAGCAGCAACAGCAGCAGCAGCAGCATGAAGAACAGCTTCTGGACAGCAGATGCATGTGGTGCTCGAAAATCTTTCTCGCGGTCCTGATGCCCGAAGCGCCTAGCAGCCGGCGACGACAGCAAAGCTCTACCTGCAGCATGGTGCCACAATGACTCACCCGCAACTCGGCACCCCCGCTGTGAAAGCTCTCCTCCCGGGAGAAGCCTGTCATGTAGAGCGTGCAACAGAGAGCAGGGGTGCCGACCAGCAGCAACACGAACGCATCCGCCAGCGCGCGGGCGGGGAAGGTCCACTCCAACACCTCTCCGGAAGGGGGGGAGCGCCCCAAAAGCTCCGCGTAGTCCTGGTCGATCATCAGGCACAGTCAACAGCTGCGGCGGGGCTGCTGTAGCGTGGGCCACGAGAGAGGTGGGGCGCGGTGACAAGCTGTGTTAGTTGTGTAGCTGCTGCTGCTGTGCTCTCAAGCGCGAAGGTGGGGGTGCGTGGAAGGCTCACGATATTGACGTATGCAGCACAATATCCGCTCTGTGTGCTCCCCAGCCGCCGTGCTTTGCCGTGCAGGGGCAGCGGCAGCGGCAGAGTTGCCCTGGCTACGCTGTCCACTTCCCTGCTGGCGCGATGCGTTCACTCCTCCTAGCATGGGCCATTACCTTGCTCTACTGCGATGGTGTGGTATCGTTCGTTACGCGTACAGGACGAGGGAGCAGCACTCCCGGCTTTGTGGCTGGGGCTGTTGCCTTTCATAGAAAACGACCACGCGGCGCCAGGGAAGGAGCAAGCAGCAGCCAAACACCTCTGGCGGCGGCAGCCGGAAGCTTCACGGCTAGGATAGCTAGAAGCGAGAGCAATTGGTTGGAGGTTTTTGGTGAAGGGAGACGACGCACGCAAAGTGAGGGGGAGAAATAGAGCAGCAGAGAGAGAGAAACTGAGAGCGGGGGAAGAAAGAGGTGTTGGGTGGTGTTAGTTGATGTTTGAGGAGCGTGTCTCCACCGCACGCGCGCTCCGCATACACAACATTTCTTCTCGAAGCTGCGCTCTGAGCAGCATCCCGCAGGACTTTCTGACTTTCTTGCTGGCCTACGGTAACCTCGTCCTGATCTTGTGCAGGTTGTGGCCCCTTCAACGTTTGTATCGCGTCAATCAGCTGTCCCGCTTTCAGCATGATCATATTTTTCAACACCCATTTTGAATTGCACGTACATGTACCGTTTGTACGAAGATTTTCATGTTGCTTCCTCCATGAAGCCGGTGGGTGTGCGCGCCGCGTTGGCTGGCTGGTTGGCTGCACAATAACGTAGTACACCGACCAGGGGTCACCATAATCTACATACGGTATCCATTTGCAATGCACGAAGCGTTGTGTGTCGTTGTCATCGCCAGCAGCAGCCGGTTGCCCGGGCGCGACATCCTGCTATGGGTTACATAGTATTATTAGGAAAAGTAAATACGAAGACATTTTACACAGTACCCGTGCGAGATACATATCCACATTCGAACGATGTGGAGTTGTTTCAAGTGTATGTATATGTACATGTGTGCTGCTGCAAAGTTCTATTGTGCAGTCAGTCGTATTGTTGCTTGCGCGATCAGCCGAGAGTGCATCTCAATGCCGCCGTATATCAAAACCCGACACCCGACCCCGCCTGGACCATCAAAATCCTCAAAACTCCTTATTACACACATTCTGTGCACGGTTCCCAGCACTTCAGCAGGACTGCTGTTACTGGTATATCTCCTCGGTGTACGGGAGTGCACCCCCCGTGTAGATTGAGAGTCACGGAATTGTTCCAAGTACCGGTAGTGCCCGCAGTAAAGATCCTCTAGCTTTAGGCGCGGCTGGGGTTCTTTGTTCCTAGGTTCATGCTACAACGGCCGCGACGTAGGGGTTCCTGTCCGAGGTCGCAAATTGTGGTCAATTTCTTCGTTTTGACAAAATGTTGAGCATCAAATTGTTGACTGCCAACTTATTGGGTGGGGGCCCATTGTGGACGGGACGAGGAGCTGGGATAGGCCTCATCGGGCGGTCGTGGGCGGTCGATTCGTGAAAATAGCCAAAAGGTCCCATGACCAGGCTCGTACGCCAATCGTCCATAGATTCTTGGGCAAAAGCTGATACGGGCGTCATAATGCCTCGAGTAGGTTGCCTTCTTTCGCTTGGTCAAGTAATCAGTCTCGCACCACAGGCTCAAAGCATCACATCTTGGACCGAACCCTAACCGACGAAAGGATTGATCGAACGAACGAAATGACATGTGACAGGGCGAACTGGCGGTGGGCATGGTACGCGGATGCTGTTTGGTCTCCATTTCCAGCCTCCAGAGTTCAGCGTCTGGCTCCACGGCACGGTACAGGCGGTCATGCTCGGTGGCTTCGCTGCCCTTATCCCGAAGGTGACCGCGGAGCGCATACGGGAAAAGGAGGAGGGAATGGACAGGGATGAGGATTATGCGGCCGGTTTGTGGAACGACGAGGAGGATTTCGATGAGTACGGGTATGCCGTGGGATACGTGTGCCCGACGTGCGACAACACCAACCAGGTGCGTCCGTCCAATGGCGTGCACGCGTGGGCATTTTTTCTCGGGGAATATGTCGCTACTGTGTTGATCGAGGGAACGTGTAACGCGACAGGTGGATGCTGATGTTTTTCTTCCGCATGAGCAACGTCGAAAGGTAGGTAGATGACTGATGCCCGCACCCGCTCATATGCATATACCCAACTGCAGCGGATTTGTTTGTCCTTTTCATGCTGTAAAGTCTCGATTCCAACTCAACGAACAGGTGAAGATGGATAAATGGGCCTCGTTCTCGCAGCAGTGCCTCTAGTGTAGCTGAGCTTGATGCTATTCCCCACCTCAACCGCGCTGTCTGATCCTCTCAGGTAAAGTGCAGCGAATGCGGAGGAAAGGGTTTTTTCGTGTCGGCGTCCGCCATGCCCAAGAAGTGCACCTATTGCAACGGGCTCGGGACGTTTGATTGCGAGGATTGCGAAGACCGCAGGTGCGACTTGACGGTTGCAACCACCGTTGAGTAGTCTCCAACGCTGGCTGTGTGAAGGCGGGTCAATAAACATGTCCGCCAGGCCTTTGTGGTGTCGCATGTTTTTCGCGCGAGTACTGTGCTTGTGTCCAGCCCTGTCTGGTCAGTCATGTCATCCACAAGTATCCGTGCGAAACAGCCGACCTGTTTGCCTTGACGTGATTCAATCTTCAAAGAAGTAAGTCATAGTTTGTTTCTCTGCTTCGTTCCTGCGTTGTCGCAACATTTTTGAGAGCAATAGGACGAGCATCACATAGACCTACCGGGCAAGTTTTGCCTACCCTGTGATCGTTCCGCTTGCTGACAGGGGATATCATTTTGCGAAGGTACATGTATCGAAACCGAAGGACATGCGCGTGGCAACACCGACGACGGCAGCCAGTTGATTGTTTATCCGCTTTGCAATTGACCCGCGTGCTTTGACAATGGTTGCATTGAACCTACAGGGAAATGCTCCGGCGAGAGAGGGGGGCGAGACGGCCCCCGCGGGAACTCCCTCCTGCCAGGGGCGATGACTTCCCGTTCGGTCGATGACTCGGTTTCGATAGCTACCCCCGAGGCGTGGAAGTCTCGCTATCTTCGTGCCTTCGCTGACCTGTGGAGATAGCCACAGCCATTCCGGGGGCGGCGAGCCATCGTTGGGTTGGGAGTATGCCCCAGCACAATCCCTTGGGTGCGTAGTGTTTTCGTCGAGCGGACTCTTAGGCTTGTGCTCTCAATGGTGTTGTAGCGGCTTCTGACTCTGTTGGTTGCGTATGCGCGCGAGCTAGTGGTTGCTCTGGGGCACGGATGGACACGTGGTGCACAAGCGAGCCAGTTGTATTGTAGACAACCGCATTCTTCATAAGTAACTGAATGCGTTCCCGAGTATTCCGAAGATGAGGCCTGAGCAGCGAAACACGTAGGGCTCGTACGGGACAGACCATGGCAGGGATAATGCCTAGGCTCGTTTTTTGTTGGCTGCTCTTAAAGAAATCCCCTCAGCACTATTGTGGGCGAGGGTAGTGTTTGTTGTTGTTGTTGTTGTTGCTGCTGCTGTTGTGGTCTTCACACGAGGGCGCGTGACGAAATGTACAGTTCATGTTTCGTGTTCCTTCTGGTCCCGTCCGAGAGCGACATATTTCGAAGTTTCGAAGTAGAAGGAATGCACGATGTAGCCGTGGGAGAAATCGTTTCATCCTTTTTTGAGATTTTTCTATCGTTGTGATCGGTGGACACACCATATATGATCCCGCCGTCCCTAACACCGTGGGCCTGCCACGGTTGACATGGAACTCGGAACGTTGCAGGCTGTATTTACACCGATATGCATACAGTAAGCAGCCCGACAAGCCCGACAATGATGGTGGCATCAAAAGCTCTGTCACAATCTCAACATGTACGTGCACACGATATTTCGAATAGCGGCATTGCCTCTAAGGGTGGCATATCATCCTCTTTCCACTTGTCGGGGCTGCGTACAATACTTTATCGAATGTTTCGTTCCATGTCCATGGACCTTGGCATGCTGTCGCGGTATTCATTTACACCTTGTTGAGATCGAGAGAGCACGAGAGAGAGCACGCTCTCAACCCAAGTAAGATTGACTTGTACATGTATACAACGGCAAGCATGCCAACGCTACCACCTCGAAGAAACGATGAAGTCGTGAAATCGGGCACAAAATGTATCTGATGGGAAGCTCCGCATGCATATACTGCTACTGCTGTAAGGACTGCATCCGAAGGTAGGTGGGAATGAATATGTGTGCGTGTTTTTTATTATTCGCATCTACCGCGCTAACCGGCTGACCAATGAAAAGACGTGTGTGTTTTCTTCCTACTTATTATGGCGACAGTCCCCCCATTTTCTCGTGGTGAGACGTGTACTACACTTTTCAGCGTATGCATATGTAGAGTATTGCACTTTTCAGTGTTTTTTTTTCGTACAACCACAACCATCCAGGGTCACACAGGAGGTCGTGGTGAGACGTGTACTACACTTTTCAGCGCATGCATATGCAGAGTATCACACTTTTCAGTGTATTTTTTTCGTACAAAACTACAACCATTCAGGGTCACAGGAGGGGGTAAACACCAGGGCTTTTTTATTCTTTTTATTTCTTTTCATGCCCCACCTTCCTCCTGCGGTGCGTGCTGAATTTTATTTCTATCGCGAGAAAGGTCCAGCCGTCCCTTTCCCTTGTCAACGGTGCTAACGTCGAAGTTTGGTACTCACGAGAGCTTGTGAGCTACATTTCGCTTTCACCCGCAAGTTTCATAAATTGTTCACCCCATGGGGATTCGAACTCACGACCTCTGCGACAAGCAGATTTCGAGGATACCACTAGACCACCGGAGCGACATGTAGTGAGCATGTGAACAAACGGTACAAGCGCATAGCATGTGGACAACGCATACAAGGGCCTTCTCGCGGCCGTTTCGCGTACAGTTGGCGCCCGCAGTTGAGAAACGCTTAATTCAGGTCCAGCCTCGAATTCTTATTGTGGGCTATAAACTCAGCGGATGTCGTTCAGTTTCTAATTTCAAGTTTCTTATTTTTTCGTGCAGTCAAATCCTGCTGAATTTCTTAAATTATTTCTCTGCTTGCATACTACACAACGTTCCAAATATACAACAAATGATTTGCACTGCTTTCCTCGACCCCCGTACTCAACCCCAATTCTCACTACCGACGGCTGCACGTAAGGCCACTCCCTAGTAGCGAAATGTATCCAGCGGCAACGTCTCGCTATCGCTACAAGGTCCTGCACCCCCCTCATGAGTGAGGGCTGAAACTAAACAAATGCATCAACACCGCATGATGCCTCACCCGCACGCTGACGTGCCCAACAACGAAAACTACCCCGTCATTATGATGCAAGCTCCGTGAGGCGAACATTGGGGGTTGTCACCCTATTGCGCCCCCCGCTCCCTTCCTATCTTTTTGAGACATTTCTTATTGTGTGACCCAGATAAAGCTATGTTTCTTAACCTTTTTTTCTTATTTTCCGTGAAAAAGTGAGCCTCAATTTCTTAACAAAATATTTCTTAACTGCGGGCGCCAACTGTAGTACTTCGCCTCTTGCTCTTGCTTGACGCAAGCACATTGTCAGTCAACGCGCCCGCTAATGCAATATACTTCATATCTGCAACATGCAACATGCATACGCAACATGCATACGTATGCATGCAACGAAGATGGCAAAATATCATATGATTCGACCAATGAAAACACAGAGGCCGTTCGATTGGCTGATTGGTTGTCCGGTCACCGGTTCGTGGAAATGCACCCCCCCGTGGTTCCCCTAACTTATTTCGCGTCGCCGCTGGTCCTTTCTTTCCTAATTCTTAACTCTCCCCTGTTCGGCACACAGGACACCCCTGCTCCGTTCAGCCCAGCACAGGAGAGCACCCTCAACTCAGGGGGTAGTCATGGCCAGGTTTCTTCCTTCTTTTGGAGGGGTAGGAGGAAAGCTCTCGTCAGGGCAGCAGCACCCTCTCCTGCTGTGGTTGGATGTCCCTGGGTACGAGCAGGGTCCGTTGCTCTTGCTGTCTATAGCAGCTTACTATCTGCTGCTTTTCGCGTGCGGTTGGTTCGTGCTACAGTGGTTCCGGCGTGGCCGCCCGTGGGCCAGGGCCCGTTCGTTCCTCGCCGGGAAGAGCAAGATCGATCTGGGCGCGGCGGGCGTTGGCGGCAAGAGGGAACCCGCCCCTCCGCAGCTCCGATACAAGAAGACCGCTTTCAATCGGCGCCTGCTGTCGGAGACTACCGTCCTGAGACAGCCGTACGTTCCGAGCCCATGGCTTGGACATAGGGTGAGTAGGACACAGGCAGGGAGGGAACGAGCAAGCCCACACCAGGAAACGCCTCATCTGTGTGTATTGGTTGACCCTCCTTTCTTTATCGACGCTGAAATTGTTTTCGTCGGAGGTACGCGGAAAGTGTGGGGTTTTGGGTTGGCTCTCGGGCCTTTTTTCGAAAATTGACGGAAACGCGGCCCTCGGCGCCTCCCACAGGATACCGGTACTGCGCGATAGAGCCAACGAAACGGTCAGAAGATAATCCATTATACGCGTATGCATAATATCCGCGCGATCAATGGACCTTTGTTTTCAGTTGGATCCTGCGCCTTGGGCATCCGCACACTGCTGCACACCCTCCCGCCGCCGCACGCAAGGGCCGACCGACAGCGTTGCGCCTACAAGCATGCGGGAAAACGCGTGCATGCGGTGGTCTCCCACGCGTCGTATTTCGGACCTGTTCGTAGCGGGACTTGGTGCTCTGGTGCTGTTTCATGCATGTAATTTGTACCTGTTCATGAAAACTTCGAAGAAGCTGCATACATGCCCCACAAAGTCTTTTCTGAGACCAGATTGTCGTGCCCTTACGCGCATACTCGGGTTGTTGAACAGCAGTTGATAGGCTCCCCTCGACGATTCAGAAGGATGTGGGCAGGCATCGTTCACTTAATCGGTACGTACATATGCATTGATGCCCCTGTATTTTCTCATCTTCGTTCCGACTGGCGGTCCTGCTAGAAACTTCGAATTGGTAGGGGCAATAAACAAAAGTGGTATGTATACCCACCCCCTTCTCCAACCCCGGTGTTTTGTCATCGGGGTTGGGTTTTCGTCGCTTGGCAACGACGTTGTCCCCACCTTGAGCTGGCGACATGTCTACGCTTTTCTCGGTTTGGCGGAAAGGAAGACGGTTGTTCGATTTTGGCCAAGAACTCCTGTCAAGATTGGCTACTGATGTCGTGTTGTGGGGAAAGCAAACATTGTAGCGTGCGTGGCGAACGACCAAGCAGCCGTGGCCCGATCGGCATTTTCGGCAACTGCTGCTGCTGCTGCTTGAAGCAAATAGGGCGGGGCGGGCCACCCTCCGTGCAGGCGGTGAAGAGGGTTTCGACAGCAGCTCCTGGTGCTGTTGCTAACGTATATGAGCCGAAGAAACGAACCCCGAGTGATCCGCCGCACTTTCGACCGTTCTCACTCGAGGAAGCACCGACCGGCGGAATGTCTAGAAATTTTCCACATCTTGGACAGTAGGTACAACAATACATATTGTTTCAACGATAGGTTGTGGGGACAATGCATCGATAGAGATTGTCAACTGCAACAGACACCACAGGGCACACACCAACACGTATTGCATGCAACAATAGGGGCACCAGGAATCTATCACTCAAAGTCTGCGGGTATAGTAGGTTCCAGCGTCTTACTATGGATAAGCATTATTCCATGCAATAGAGTTCCTTCATGATCTATTGAAATATATTACCGCCATCTAGGTGTTCGGGCAGTCAAATCGAAATTTATTGCCCTAGCCAATAGATTTGGGGTGACATCTATTGACATGCACTACCATCACCAATACGTTGGAGTGCAGTCTATGGGTATGCATTGTTTGAATTGAGCCGGGAACCTATTGATATGTTGTGCCCCCACCAATAGATGTCGGGCGACATCTATTGAGATGCACTGCCGTCACAATACGCTCGAGTAATGCCTATGGGTATGTATTGTTTGAATTGAGCCACGGACCTATTGATCATGTATTGCCCTCACCAATAGATTTCGGGCGAGGGCTACTGAAATGCACCACCATTTCCATCACAATTCGTTGGAGTTGTAATGCGTTCATCAACATATTCGGGTGCAACCTACCATAGCCTATCTTGGACCAGAGTCAGAAATTGTGCAGAATTTATTTCGATCACAGCGCCATGATCTGTTTCATGTGCATTGGACACTGCAGCGAGCACCCAGAACACTGCAGCAACAAATCTCTACCACGTGATCTGTGCACACAGAACCGAACCGGATACGTAATCCGGGGAATGATCCGCGGCGCGTACACGATGAACACCACCCGTTATGGGACGCTACGGGCGGCGAATTTCAGCTCAATCAAAGAAAAAAGGCATGGGCACGCCTCTTGCCGCCACCCCATCAAAATCGCGGCCAGCGACCTCGTGGCTCATTTTCTGCACGGTGTGGAACCCGTGTGAATCAAAACCAGCCACATGACGACAAAAACAAACCTTTAGAACCCCCCGCCGCCGTCCAGGTGGCCTGCGCCCCCTCAGTCGGCGACAGACCCCCCCAAGACAAGTCCTCCTCTCCAATGTCGTCAGCAGGATCCGGCGCGAAGTCGAGCACCTGTACCTCCGCCAGCTGTTCCGAATCCGTCAGACGATTCGGGATGGCAGCTTCCATGGCCTCGTCGCTCAGTTTACGCATATCTAGCGGAATGCTGTCGATCTGGCCGCGCAGGTACAGCGACATCTCCAAGTGGGCCGGGTCGAGGGAGCCGCGCTTCCGAGGCACGAGCATGTCGGCCATGCAAAAGTCGCGTTCCACGCAAGCCGAAGAGGCCGGTGCAGCAAAAACTGCCTGAGCCAAAGACCGAAACACGGGCGGCCAATGGCCGCCATGCGTTCGCCAGTACTTGACCCTGCTCATCAATTTGATTCCCTTGTCGAACTACGATGTAGAGAGACGGCCAGGCAACACCCGAAAACCAGCGAAAAGGGATGGAGATGAATGCCGAAAGAGGGTCAGGGGGGGACAGACGTTGGACTTGACGGGAATCACACTAGCTAGAGCGGGGGACTCATACCGGAACCACGCGCTTTAAAGTGTGCGATGAAGGCAAGTGAAGTATTCGCACGGGAATTGCAACGATTGAAGACTGTCCGCTACAACTCAGAGAAAACGGGCTTGCGCATCGACGAAAAATCAAAATTGCTCAATTGTGAACGGGTTGTCCTCAAAGAATCAAAAGCAAATATGTTGAAAGTTCAGCATTGGAGGTACGTACTAACATGAAGTACACATATCAGTATCGTATTCGTACACAATATGAGCATGAAGACAGTAAGAGTAGGGGGGTATACATTGAGTGAACGTTTTAGGATTTTAGTGGAAACATCTTCAATTGTCCGGGGGCAATAATAACAATAAGAAGAAGAAGAAGAAGAAGAATAAGACTAAGAATAATAATAATAATAATAATAATAATCAAAAACAACACAAAGTGCGCGATTATCCTTGCCCCCTTCCTTTCCTTTGGCCCCACTTGCTCCAAACACCATTTCACTTTGGTTGTTCTCACCGAGTGAGCCTGCCACTTGTTGAGGATTCCGGCGGCTTCTGCTTTTGGAGGAACCTCTTCCTCCCCGCGCTCCTCCTCCTCTTCCTCCTCGTCGCTGCTGGAGTCCACCATGCCCGAATCCTGGAGCTCCCGTGCACTCCATCACGTGCATTTTAAATGGGGAGTAGATGCACGTGCCATCAGTCAATTATATTGCCGTCATCGATACACATTGATGGCATTGCTGCAGATCATATCGAAATAATCAATGGATATTGATGATGTTGCTCGTGATCCTATTGCTGTCATCAATGGATAGTGATGGCTTGATGCAGATACTATTGCAACGAGCGGTAGACATCGATAGGTCAAGTAAAGCTTCCAGTGTGATACGCAATATAACTTGGACGCTGCAATGTGAGGCTATTGCCAACATCAAACATCTTTCGATTAGCCTCTTTCGGCTGCCCACATGTTCGCGATCGTGTATTGCTACCGTGTGTAACTGTATATTGCTGCGCTCAATAGATTTCGACAGATCGTGACGCCCTTGTCTTGTGCCAAACAATACCTATATCATTTTAATTTTCGGGGACATGGTGGCTCCAGTAATCTATTACACAGTCTATTGTCCGAGGTATAAGCTCTTCACGCCGCTTCACTTCTCATCTATACGTTCTCATATATGCGGCCTGTGTGTGTATGTACGAGACACGGTGATGTAGACACTGGTCGCGGGCATGGTCCAGCACAAACAGCAGCCGCTCGGTAGAAAAAACACAACCTACTCGCTTGTTTCTTTGAGCCGCTGCCTTAGATCCCTCGATTTGGTACTGGGTCTTGAGGTGCTGTGTTGCACCGGAGGTCATTTTTGTCGAGATGGAGTACTCGTGGTGGTTGTTTCGGCACGCTTCACTCGCCAAGCACACCTACACCTGTTGGCGCTCAGCAAAATCACCATTACTTTCTTTCTTCCACTCATCTCGCGGTATTACTTCCAGCCTCGCTCCATAGAAGTGGATGATGCTAGGGTTGCTGGCGGCTGGTGCCGCGAAAACTGTCCCTCCTTGGGCTTGAAGCTCATGACTGCCGACTGAGTAGCTGCAGGCACAACGGGTGGGAATATATGCTGTTGCTGCGGACCCCGCTGCTGCTGCACCACCAGCAACAGCCGCGGCGTCTTGCCTCCTATTGCCATTCATCGAGAGCGGCGTGCATGTGTGTGCACTTGTGCGTGTGTGCGTGTACGCAGTGCCGCGGGTGCTGCGGTGCTGCGGGCTCAGCGTAGAAAGAACCATCGATAGATGCGTTGTCCGAAGACTTGCCGAAGACGGAACAATATCGGAACGTAGTTGTATTCCGAATATTTCGGGTAAATCATTCCGAATCTACTACTATACCAACAGGTCCCTTCCACTCGACTACGTACTACTGTTTGGCACGGTCTGCTATGTAGAAGAATGGTGGTCGCCATCTATCAAAGCACCAATACAATAGGCGTTGTGTCCACAATAGATTGGTGTAATAATAGATTGGTGTAATAATCTATTGATAGACACTGCGATAATCAATTACCTTCCGAAACAATAGACTGATGGGCGTTGGCCACGGCAATAGGTTTGTAGACTCTCCATTCAATGTGTATTACAATGACATCATAGGGTTAGATAAATCGATCGAGTTACACTGTAACCCCGGGCAGATTCGGTAGGAAATCAATCGATAGATATTGTCACCATCAATATAACCCACGTGAAAGCTATCGCAAAATGCTGTTCGGGCAATAGTGCGATTGGAGGGTGCGGTCGATAGACACTGCCAATGGCAATAGAATAGGGCAAAGGTCTTTCAGTAGGCATTATCCACGGCAATGCCGGCAGCTATTGCACTATTTTCTATTGTATATTGCACCCTCTATCCCTATTGTCCAAGGTGTGAAATTTTCGAGGCGAAGTTTTCCAGCCGAGCAAGAGCTGAGCCTCAAGAAGCGCGGCTGGGTGCGATTGGTTTGCCCGGTGACCAATGCTGCGGTTTGGGGCCGACCCAATTCCGCCCCCACCCCCCACCATCATGTCAACACCCTCAAATTGCAAATGGCTACCTTTGCATCATTGTATGTATTGTGTGAGAACGCCACAAGCCTGCCAACTTATGTAACCGTCAACTTTTGTCTTTCAGGGCATTTTTTCGCAGCAGCTATTTACGCCTTGTTTTGGCGAGTGGGGACTTTCGCCAAGTCTTTCGTCTGTTGCTACTGTTCAACAGGATTGAAGAGGTTGTGACTACGGGAATGCTTTTCTTGTATGCCGTGAAGATCACGAAGATAGCATCGGGTTAGAGTGCTGAACGTTTTCAAACGAATAAATTTGCACATGGCACGTCAACTGACCTGATTCAATCAACGACACGCACATAGCATCCATACATTGGTGCGCGTATTCCCCGTGTCGATGTTGGATTCCGTTCACAGTATCTTGTTTTTTGTTGTTTTCGACCGCGTGAACCAACTCCCGCTCTTGCTCTACGCACGTGCGTACTTCTAACGAACAGCTCGGTGGCCACATGCAGAGCTTCATGTTTGCCACCTGGTGCCCTCCCGGTGACCGGGCGATGGTGAGCCGTCTGGTTAGCCGACAAGACCGGGTGGAGTCTTCCTTCGACGGCGGCGTGTTTCGCATGGATTGGTGGGTGACCAACGAGGCCGGTCTGGCCAGTAGCCTACGCAGTTTGTTTATGTAAGCAAACATAGTGGATAATGTATGGAAGTGGTTGAATCTCGGGGCTTGAGGTTCAGGCCTATGTAAGTCTCTGTCTTTCCTGCATCATGCACTGCTGCTCCTTCGTCGTACTGAACTTTGGTCCGTTCCACCCGAGAATTTCTTGTGTAGCGCACGACCGCGTGAAGGACATTCTCTTGACGGTGTTCGTTTTGCCAGGGCATTCTACCTGCATCACCCTCGTTTGACATATTTCGGTGCATCACTCGTCTTGAGTCTTGAGTTTTGAATGGTTCGCTGGGGGGAGGTCGGATTGAACCCACTGGGCAAGGAGGTTCTTCAAAATGACGGGTGGCGTCGGGACTAATCACTACCGAGGGGCAGAATCTAGCTCACGCAGATGTTGCCCTTGCCCTCGTCCCTCTCTTCTGCTTTTCTCGCGATGCAAAGCCCACGTTGAAACCTCACTTGTGCTCTCTTTTTGGTCGTGCGTTTCCTCCGGTGTGCCGTACTGGATAGGTTTGACCTCCGCGAGACCCCGTTGCCTGCGGACGCCCCGGTCGTCTTTGTCCTCCCTGGGGTGGTGGGCCAAGGCACTAACGTGAGCGCTGCCGTTGCCGCCGCTGGAAGGGGTTGAGGTTGTTGATGCTGTTGTCGGTCAAGATTTTGCTGCTGTGGTCGATGTCGGTGCAGAGGTTGTTTCTTTGTGAGGTGACTTCGGTTGCTGGTGTTGCTCGCGCTCTACTTCGCCACTGGAACGATGTCGGTGCTACGGTTCTGGCTTCAGCTGTGGTGGTGTTGGTCCCACTTTACTTTCCGCCTCCGTTCGCTCGTCTGGCGGGTTGCGTGTCGTTTTCCGTTGTTGTTGTTTCTAAAGGATCCATCACCGCTGTAGAGTCTGTCGGACCGATCGTTCCGTGCCTCGGTCAACTTGCCTCCTGTTCGATCTCGCTTGGCGATGGACAGGTTTACATCCGGCACCTTGCGGCCCACCTTTCCACCAAGTACGGCTACCGAGTGGTCACCAAGAACTGGAGGGGAATAGGGTTGGAATTATCTACAAGAAGGTGCGAGAACCCGCGCCTCTGGCCAATCTCTTACCGCGATGTGTCTTATTTCTGTGAACGTAGCGCGAACAACAACACCGCTCTGATGGTGTTTTCTGCGCCTGATTTTTTTCTCATCCGAGCGCGTGTTGCTGCGTTGCAAACCAACGCCGACAAGGAGGCTGCGTCCCATTGCCGAGGCAGGGCACCCAGCACGATGGGCAGTCTGCTGAACAGGAATGTATGTGTCTTAATTGAATGGTACGAAGTATATGCCAAGGCGGTTTTCTCGGTTGCGTTTGATTGTAGCCCGTGGCTCTCTCTATCGGGAGGGCCACAGATTATGGTCTTGTTTTATCGTCTCCCTAGATAGTTTCTTGTCTGCGAGGCTTGTCTTTCATGATTTTGTTGGGTTTTATTGTTTTGTCCTTGTTGTCGTTGCTAAAGGCCGGAGACGTGGGACCACGCCGCCCTTTCGGACTGTAGAGACGCGATCAAGCACCTGAGACGGGCGGTCGGGGAGCACGTCCCCGTCCTTGGCGTTGGCTTTAGCTTCGGCGGCTGTGTGCTGACGGCCATCGCAGGCACGGTGCCGCAGGAGGAGCACGGGTTGTGCGGGCTGGTGAGCATCTCCGGGCTCTTCGACATGCCGGCCATGATGAAGCACATCGCCGAGCAGTATGCGTACCCGTACGGCTTCGCCAACACGAAGGTGAGTGATGGGAAAGGAGGGTCGCGTCGGGTTGGAAGAAGGGCTAGGTTGAAACATAATCTTGATATTTCCGTACATGTGCGAAGGTGTGAGAGTGATGGCACGCTTACTATGATATAGAGCGACTAGTCCACGGGAACGCGTTGCGTTTGGCAATACCTCGTCGGGAGATTGCCCTGCACGCATCCGTCCGTCGTTCGGTTTGCGAACGTCTCATGGTCATGGAGGTCTGGAGCTCTGAACTTCTTTGTCCAGGAGGTGTGCGAACGGTCGTACACTTGCATTATAGGGACTACCTGGTACAGAGGTTTACCTTGTTGGCCGAGTCCTTGCGGGCTGGCGTAGCTGTTCGGCTGCTGCTGCTGGTGCTAGGACAATCCTGGAGCCGGCGATGGTGGTCAAATTGTTGTTGTGATCATGCTCCGGAATACTATGTGTGGGGTTAGTGAAACAGTCTCTCCCCCTTTCGTGCCGGAAGACGTGTGATCCGTAACAACTGTGCGCTCCTCACGGACTGCATTGTTGCGTTGACGGCCCCGATACCCAGGTAACGGTGAAGAACTACCGCAAGTTCAAGGTGTTGGAAACCCTGACTGCGGAGGCTGATGCTTCCGTTATCGACGGTCGAAGCAGCGGCCCGATCCGCATCAGCAGCAGCTGCTTCAGTGACGATGAGGGGATGGGTCTCGGGCGGTCGTCCTCGTCGGCTACTGCAGAGGAGCCCTTGCGGCCGTCAACAGGGCCGATACGAACGAGAAAGAAGTTGCGCCCGGCGTCGGCGGCGGCGGGGGGGGCTGCGGCAACGGTGGAAGCGGGTTGTTGCGCCGCGAGCCAAGCTCCTTCTAGCGCCTCCGCCATAGCGTCGTCGGCCGCACGCGCCTCTCTCTCAGCCGGCAGCGGAGCTAGTGGAGGGCTCGTCAATGGTCAGACGACGCCAACCACTGTGGCGGCAGAGGCAGTCGCTTCGCGGCGCGGAGACGAGGTATTCCACACGGCTTCGTTGCTTGACTCCGGCCGCGGGAAGGAAGGGGAGGTAGCGGTGCCGGCGGGAGCGGGGCCAGGGGCAGGTGCTTCGTCGAGGTTGGTGACGGCGAAGGAAATGGCGGCGATGAAGGACCCGAGCGCTTTTCACGAGGCGCTGACGCTACCGTTCACGGGGGACTCGAGCGTGGACGCGTACTTTCAACGAATCGGGCGGATTATGGGCCAGCATGTGTCTTCGGTAAGTGGGGGAGCAAGGCGGGTGCAGATGGACAGATTGACGACTATGGTCGACAAGATTTGCCAACCAAAGATGTTAAACGAGAGAAACCAAGCTGTGGCGAACCACTCTGCGGGGGGGGGGGGGGGGGGGG